CTTTCTTTTTGGTGAGATTCTTCAACGGAGCACCGACACTCGAAAAATTTGGCACGTCCGATACCACGCAGCCACACCCAAAAATGAACGAATCTGCGTCACATTCCTAGGAGTGAGGATCCTCACTATGGACTTAACCTTTCAGAGTCTTCACGGAAGCTCTCCTTATCGACAATATACCCCAGATATTTTAATTGTGGACGATAAAAATGACATTTCTCCAAACTAAGAATGAAACCACTAGCTAAAAATCTGTCTAGCACTTTATGCAAAATTTCCAAATGTGTTTCAAAGTCAGAAGTCAACACAATCACATCATCCAGATAAACAAAAACATGAAACTCAAGATCAGCACGGAAAATTATATCGACGAGACGTTGGAATGTAGCAGCAGCATTGGTTAGTCCGACGGCATACGCTTTAAATGGAATAAGCCACGTCCTGGTATCGTAAATGCCGCAAGTTCCCGCGAAGTTTCTTTCGATGGGATGTGTCAATATGCTGACTTGATCTCGATGGAATTCAAATACCTAACATCTCGCAAATTATCCAGAATAGAAAAAATATAGGGCAAAGGACAAGCGTCTTTTCTTGTGATTCCATTAAGTTTTCGATAACACAGGTTTACAAAAATCAAAAAAGTTTTTTGGACTGAATATCTATTTATCACTTCTAGTATATTTTCGCTCGCTGAATTCAAATTCGTGCTCAGTTGTTCTCCAGCACGTCTAGATTTTGTGATTGCGCAAGGTCACTAACCATTGGGCTAATCAAAAATTTCGTTAAAGCACTCGACAAAAATCATGCAGCCTTTAAATACTTACAATAAATTTTTCCAACGTTATCTTATGCCAAAATAAAAGAAGGTCCAGACATACGAAAACTGATTCAAGACAGTCAATTTACGAGATATTTGTCATCGTGCACAATTTTCTCGGTATTAACCAAAGTTCCGATTACAAAGAAATTGTTGCAAAATTATTGAAGGCAGTAGCGGCTCGTGGTCTTTTCGTTAGGGGAGGCAACATTTTCGGTTTAAAATCAGCAGGTATTAATTAACGTGTTTGCAATTACTTTTGTTAAAAGACAGATTGTTTATCCGTTTTTATGAAAACAATACAAATAACTCTGAGTTAGTAACACATCTCTACACTTTTCGAATAAAAAAACATTTAATTGCTTCACACAAACCAACGAAAAGGTGCAAAGACTACAGAATTTGCTTTATTAGCATAAATTTTAATTCATATGATCTAGGGCTGATTTAAATATACCTATTAATCAATTGATTAATAAAGTTCTGCTCAAATCTGGGATGAGAGATTCCTAAATCTTTAACATAAAACTGTTCGTCGTAAGAAAACCGTGCTTAAATATTTAAACTTTATAAGAAATTCTACAATGTCGTTAGAGAATTAGAGATTCTTATGTTCCTATCAGCATTGCAAAACTGACTTTTTCATTGTCCTAATATTTTCAAGTTAACTTAAAAGTTTTAATACATAACCTTGGCAATGCACATGCAATGAACACCTTTCCTCGCATCTAATTAATGCACAACTAAATGCATTCAGCATCCCTGTTCAGCATTGTGCAGTTTCATCTTGAGATTAAAAAATTCGATCTGATTGGCTTAAGGACGGTAGGCGTTGGTGCCTCCGCTAGCGCTTTGATAAAGCACTGCTGACTATTCTCTTTCTCAAAAACATATTAGCACCACTGACTAATCATACTGAAGATATCCGTCTATCTGAGGCATACCTCCGTCTGAAGCTGGCCTACACGGTGATGATCAGCGCTTATTCCTGTCGAAAGCGCGTACTTCAAAATATTTATTAAAACGCGTCTTGGTTAACAACCAAGACGCGTTTTAATAAATCACAGTGTTCTATAAAAGTTATTTGCTATATCTTTAAAATATATTTGAAGTTGACTGATATTAAACAAATTAAAACTAATAGTCAATTTTTCCAGGGGAGGCACTGCCTCCTCTGCCTCCCCTGACGAGCCGCCACTGATTGAAGGATTATAAACAAATTGCGGCTCGCATGTCTTTGAAGTTACATTTCCTTTATTCGCACCTGGATTTTTTTCCTGCTAACTTAGGCGCTACCAGTTATGAACAGGGCGAACGGCTACATCAAAATTTATACAGCATGGAGAAAAATTACCAAGGTTTTTAGGATGAAGGCATAATGAGCGATTATTGCTGGATGTTGCTGCGTGAAACTGATGGTCAAACGTATGCTTGACAAAGTAATACTGGACTACACTTTCAATTTTAAAGATTTTTTGTAAGAAAACTGCTAAATATATTAAAATTTCATCAAAACATATTCAATATCTCAAAAACTTGACGTGATGGCGACAAACGGATTGCAGAATCGTGTTCAGCGTGCAAAATTGGTCTAAGAACACTAATTGGTTGCTTTGTCCAAAAACTAGTGTAAACCTGTGTAATCAATCACCGGATGTCTTTTTTGGAAACAACATCGGCAGTGACGACCACGCACTGTTAGAAGATTCAACAATGTCTTGCTCCAACATTTCCTCTGACACTGCCTCCAATAACTTTTGTTTTAGGAGGTTCACAGGATAGTACCTCTGTTTGATGGGGGTGGACGTCTCCACTCGTCTTATGTATGACTTTACTAAAAATTGCTATCTTATTTGGTGTCACATCTTAACCAGTATTAAAGAATTCCGTATTAAAGAATTTAACGATACACGCTGTTCACGGGTCAAATTATCTCTCTCTCAGATATCCCTCAAACGTTAGAATTTCATTGGCAGAATCACTAAAATCCTTAAATTGAAAAACTTCTCCCGCTTCTAAGTTCTTGGTAGAAATGGTATTTAAGTATGTCTTCTCGAGCTAAAAAAATGAACAAACGCGTATGTAGATGCACCTTACAAGATTGTCATGAAAGTTATTACTTACTGATTAAATTAACCATTGATGAACAAGCAGTCACGCCCTTTTTAAATGCATTAAAATCTACGGGCACTAGCAATATAATCACGTAAAATATGTTGTACAATTAATTTGTGCATTTATTGCGTTTAAATTATCCTACAATAATCCTCACACTGGATAAAATAATTCTATTTGAATTGTTAAGTGATTTCTGAGTGAGGTCGAGGAATAATGTCTAATATCATTTTGACATTTCGATTTTCCATGGCTAATCCACGCGATCGTCAAACTGAGACGAAACGTTTCACAACAAATAAGACCGAGTGTTAATTTCAAAATACCATTTTTGAGTCTGTGTATAGTGAATGAGCACCACGCAACGTTTGAAAAAAAAATACTGGCCGCTAACCCTCTTTTATACCTTCACAAATGCATCACTCAATAATTACTAGCTTTAAAGTGATCTGGGGAAAGATTATAAAATAAAAACCAGTTCCTCATGTTAATTCCCTATGTCCAAACTTGGATGCGGCACCCTGCGTAAATATAATGCACTGATCGAAATTAAAGCAGCGTTTTCTCAAGACTGCATTTTTTGAGATACGCTTGTTTTGCTCTAATCCCTCGAAGTATAATATGTTTTGAGGCAATGATATTTTTATAAAAAGGTACAAAAGCACCAAGGCGGGAAAGTAGGGGGATTTTCCGGGTCGAAAGAAAATAACAATTGTTAAGACCCGAAAAACCACTTTCCTGTCGTGGTGTACACCATGTCTTTTATACTACACCAGAGAATGAAAATTATACAATGAAAAAAGTTTTATTTAAAACAATGCAATACATATTAGGTTAATTACATTATTTATTTGAAAAAATAATAGTATTAAATACTGGATTTTTTATTACACAGGTACTAAAAGAAAAACCTTCTTTAGCTGGGTTTGATAGTTCAATTTTTTTAAAAGCATTTTGCAAATTAATTTAAAACGTTTCCATGAAAATTCATTCATTTTCCTGGTTAGAGAAACTAACAAATTTTTCAATGTTGCCCTTTCCCAGCCCTCTTAGAGCAAGAAAATCTTATTTTAACTTGGTGCAGGATAAAAACTTTGTTTTCTACGTATTGTTACGTTGATCGGTGAATAAAATCGGTATGGGTAAAACTCAACAACATATTTCTTATTAACGCGAATTTACACAATTAACTATTACAGCGATTATGTACAAAATAATTCCGGCGCAACTTGACTGTACTCTCTTGACTCAACTGGCTAAATAATAATAATAGCTCCCGAATTTTAAACATCTATTTAAACCCATATTTCTGTAATCGAGGTCTACCCATCGCGACTTTCGCCTCCAGGCTTTTCGAACGCCGCTCGGCCGCCGTTGTTGTGCATACTAGAAAGCTCTCGACGGCCCATAGGCGTCGTACCAGGGTGCCGTATGGGTTTCTTTCATAACAGTATTATGCTTACTTGTGTAGAAAAGTGAAAATTGAGCATCTTTAGAACAAACGCCTTTTTCTGTTCACATAACCGTTTTTATTATCTTTATCCGTTAAAAATCTATCACGGTTCTAATCACGTAATCACGAAAATGTTTCTGTCGTTCTATCTATGTGTTCTTTCGATACCAAATTTGTTAGGGTATACCTTAGTAACAATACCGAAAAACCTCTTAGGAACAAAATGGTTTAACTGAAAATAATAAGGAAATATAATTTGTGAATCTGACATTATCGGTATGTATATAAGTTCCGATTATGTTTCAAAATTTGACTAAAAATAACCGAGCTGCGAGGTTTAAGATATGATTACTTGTTTTTGTATGATCAGAAAACCTTGGTGTTAATTTCTTTTTTTGAAGAATATAAACTATAAATAAAATTATATGTTTCGTAAAAAAGGGCAATTTTGATTTTAATGTTTGTCATACCATAATTTAAATTTAGACCTATATTTAGACTTATCGTTGATGTTGTTTATGTTTACATTCATATACAGTTCGCACATAATATTAATACAATATTGCGATAACTCATAAAAACAGTCTCAGCGTCACACTGCTATTATCTTTTCAGTGATTCAACGATCCAACAGCTCGCCAACCATAAACGGCGAATTAAACAAGTCCACCAACACCCAAAGCAAATCTGAACCTACAAATATCGGTTTAATGAGACCAAATAACCGCCTTCTCCCCCCAAGTCAGACTAAAGCTTCTCCACCACGCGGAAAAAACACCAAAAGCTGTACTGCGAAAAAAACTGATACCGTCAAAATGTGGTTTAAGAAAAGCATAGTCCAGGTGCGCTTACCATCATCCATCAAAAAAGGTTACACTTGCAAAGGTGCAGCTAAAACTACATTAGTCCCTCGCTGTGAACTCACGACGCCATCGTCCGAACACTGCTCGTACAACGGAACATGTCCTTCAGACGAAGCAAGCTTTGCCACTTCCTCAGTCGACGAGACAACTTACCACTTTACCCGACACGCTATTAGATCTAATTATATGGACAAGAGTATTGAGGCCAAAAGGAAGGTAAATTTCGGGTCTAAGTGAAATGTCCAAAAAAGTAAGTGCGGTTATTTTTGCAGGTCATTCGGATGCTATTTGTCGTTGTTGCTGAATTTTTCATATGCTGGGCACCACTGCATATTCTTAACACGTGGTATCTGTTTTACCCTGAAGATGTTTACTTATACGTTGGATCTACAGGAATTTCTCTGGTGCAGTTGCTGGCATACATTAGTTCTTGTTGCAATCCGATTACTTACTGCTTCATGAATAGAAAGTTTCGACAAGCATTCTTGGCAGTTTTCAACTGGTACAGGTAAGATTGACCCAAATTTGCTCTATGTTCTATTTTGTAAGCATCACATCAAAGTCAGTTTTTTGTAATATTTCTCCAAATGGAAACATCTATTTAATATAACTGACATATATTATTGGTGTTTGAATAAATTACAATAAAAATTTTTTGTTCTACACTTAGGATAATAGGAAAATATGTTGCCATCTTTTTTGTCCAAGTTTTTTGCATGAAACTTTATCTTTAACAGAGGATTAGTAATTCCAAGAATTTAATATTATTTAGCGAAAAAAACACGCATGACGACCTTTTGTCGCGGATGTCAATAATTTGGCAAGTTGGTGAGAGATGCTGAAGTTAAAGTTTCAGTATCTAGACAAATGTGGTAATTGGAACTGCGAAGATAGCCCTTTGTGCTATTTTTTCAAATTTTCTTAAATATATTCTAGAAATAAAAAAACTTTTCACTATGGAGAAAAGATTTTTCCCCAACAAACACATTTTCTGAGCAGAATATGAAACTTCTAATAATGGTGTCTACAAGAGATTTACTTTTCTGGTGATTTTTTGACGACGAAATTTTTCAAAAATTAACCGATGAAACCAATACGCTGCTCAGCTTTATACGTACAAATAAGTGAAATGAAATATTTTATCAGTGTATTGTTGTAAAGTTGAGACGTTGCACTTCTGGGCGTTGTAAGTTTTGGAAGCTATCTACCATTGCCAAAATAAACCAGCTTCCGAACCAACTAGATATAAATCCGAATATATTTTGGTAAATATGCACTTCCAGAATAGTAGTTAATTGTGCAAGAAACTAGTCGAAGGTTATTTCGACAGAACTTCCCTCGCCCCTGAAATACAGAGATTTTTTATGATAACTCTTGTCAGTCAAAATAAATATATAAATGTAATGTTAAAGTAAAGGTAAAGAAGTCTGCTACACGTTTGTATCAGGTGAGGTGAGTTTTTCCATTACAAAATTTTGTAATAACGTCATCAACATTTTTGCAAGGCCACGTACATCAATTTGGATAGATGCAGTGTAATACTAATAATAACAGTACTGTATTTCCAAATTTTTATTCATTAACTTTTTTGATTCACCCTGTATTCTAAAAATTATCAGTGGCAGCTCGTGACCTTTTGAAATGGAGGGACACAATTTGATTGATGAGCTAAATATGAAGATATGAAACAGGCTGTTATCACCAATTAATAGACGAAATTGTGTGACGGAAATAAATACAAAAATAAATTCAAGAAAAGTAAAAAAGTTGTTGTCCACATACCTTTGATTTTATATCATTACTGAGGAGACACACAAAACAAAACAATTGATAATTTTTTTCACAACCGCGCATCCACAAAATGTACCATGCTTGTTATGTCTATTAAAATATCTATGAAAGTCTCTCGTTTTGTCATAAACACTTTTTTTTATTAATAAATCTGGGGTGGCTCTTTCTAAATTTTTCACTAAAATTTTACCCTCGTAAGACAGAGGACGATTTTGTATTAAATATTCAACCGAATTGATTATTTTTAATTAAAATCAAACAATTCCACTCGCGCAGAATGAAAATTGAAACCCGCAATTGAGTTACTGCTGGTGGGCACTGTCGCAAGAGGACCCGATTCCAGCTGAAAACAGCCACTACACACACGGTTTCCATGGCAACGGTAAAAACAAGACGTCTAAATCAGCCATGATTTGGTCTCCGGCTTTTATCAGCACTTCATCAGAAATATAAAATATCATATATCCAAGACACAGCATCTTTAGATGTAAGCGGATGTAAGTTTTGACACATTTTATACAAGTCGAGCAAGCTAAACAAATTAGTTTTTATAATTATGACACAAATTTACGGATAATATTTTAAATATTGAAAATTACTATTTTGCTATGTCCAGTATTACTATTTGTAGACGTTGTAATTTTGGGGGACACGTGACTTTGTGTCCCCTGGCACCAGCCGCCCCTGAAAATAATGAGTGCTTTCATAAATCACAAGTATTGAGTAATATTTTGCATATTTCAGAGAAAATTTGTCAAGCAAAATTTTGAGGTGACGTCATCAATTAACGCTGTAAATTCTGATTAACGATTTATCGTGATAACGATAACCTTAAAACGTTTGGAACATTGCTGGGCATGCGGTTTTTTCAGTCTTAAAATTAAATTCCAAAACGTCGTTATATAATTTTTATTTTTTCCAAAAATAATTGGATAAAAAATCAATATGTTTCTATAAATTACACGTGTAGGATTATGTTATTTTAAACAATATAAAACCCATTTACTATGCACAATTTTGAGGTGACGTCATTACGTTGTTGGTGGGGATGACTAACCAAAGTTTGGTTAGCGTATTGCCATCTACATGATATTCATATTACACACATAAAAGCTAACAACCACTGACCTGGTACTTTCGGAGATTATTATCCGCCTAACAGAAATTCACACAGGTGGCAAACAGGCAGATAGACAGACGGAAAGTAGCCAGTTGCTCGATGGATTCGATTATAATACTTCCTCAGCTTATCCTCGGGAAGTAAAAAGTAAATTTTATAAAATACATTTCTCTCACCTATTGTCCAGACGCAGTTTTTATCGTTTTTGTTTTGACTTCCGTCAAGCCAACACCATACACCCAAAAAAATGCGTGTCCGTTATCTTACATGAGTTCGATATTAGATAAACTATTATATACTGATTTCAAGCATTGGCGGGTTCCTCTCTGGGAAGACAGTAATCCAATCATTGCCTCCACCGAGAGATGTTCCAGTTCCGAGTGAAATCCTTCGGTCTCCATTCTACTTGTGCACTTTCCAGCAAAGCGTTCGAATAATCATTATTTTGGGCAAGACGTACACAGGAACAATCTAACCAAGCCAACTTGTTGCCGAATCCGGAGAAGAGTAATTTTTTTCAGAAGTTTTTATCCTCGAGATCAAAATTTTGGTAAAAAAATCAAAATTGTATAACATTTTACAATTTAACTTTGAAATTGCAAAACCCTAAAATCTTGCAAAGGTTTTAAGGTTATCGTAGGCATGGTAAATCGTTAAACAACACGTTTTCGTTTATGCCCCCTAAAAATTGATAACGTCATTCTATATAATTTTGCTGATTTTTTTTAGTTTTTCGTTAAATTTTATATGAGTGCATACGAATATTCCTACATGTGTGATTTAATAATCCGTGTTAAGCTTTTACCCTAGACATCCAATTTTTGGGAATTTAAAAAATGTAGTTTACAATTTAACTTTGAAATCGCACAAACGAATGCTCTGAAATTTTGCAAACATTCTAAGATTTTAGGAAAAGTCGTAATCAAAATTTATTTGTTTATGGTCTCCTCAAAAAATGATGACGTCACCTGACAATTCTGCTGAATTTTATAAAATAAAATACTCCGTCATGCTTGATTTATGAATCCGTGTTGAGTTTTTACCCTTGGCATTCGGATTTTTGGGAAAAAAACAAAATTTTATAACAACATTTTACAATTTAACTTTGAAACTGCAAAACCGAATGCTCCGAAATCCTTGCAAATATTTTAAGGTTACTGGAAGCATGGTAAATCTTACAATTTTGTCGAATTCTCCAACTTTATGAGTGTTTTCGAAAAAAAACTGTGTGGTTAATTAATTATTTAATCTTCTCCTTTGCTTTGAGGAGATAAAATCAATCAAATTTCATTTTCTTTGAATCGCTGATGCTTGTAATCTGAATCTGAATTCTTTTGAAGTAAGTATAAACATATACAGTCTAAGTTAAGCATGTATTGAAAAAGTGAGAATATCTACGTTTCTTCCTGTTAGTTTCATATTGTTCACATTTATGCGGACATTCTTAAAATTTGCGCCCCCATGGCGTAGGGGCTGCGAGCGTGTCATTTGCGCCAGTGGATTCCACTTTATAGAAGTTATAATGAAATGAAAATCGCAAAATCAAATTTTATCATTTTTTAAACAAAGTTGATTTGTCGGACTATACTTCAAAGCGAACGAAGTTCTGTCGAAATAATCTTCGACAACCATTTTTGTTATTGCTATTGAATTAATTTGTGCTACTGTAACTTTAGTTTTGACTGTCCGAATTTGCAATATTGAAAAATGCTGTTGCCTTTAATTTGAGTGGTGAAACTTAATTTAGTACATTGCGAATATGACGCATACATGGCGATGGCGTCGTAACGCAATGTTATATATTTTAAAATTACTATGTTATATATGTATTTTGGCTACTAGGCTATAATTGCATCCCGAGAAACATTATGGTCAATTACAAGAGATAGAACAATCATGACAAAGTACATTGTACCAATAGAGAGAATAAGAATCTAATAAGTATTTGTTAAATATAACGATAACATGCTGTAGGAGCAAATTCTGTACGTTCTGTATAAAAATATCTCCAAGAAGAAAAAAGTGGTATATGTACGTAAACTAACCACATATGTTTAAAATGTAAAGTAGAAATATGAACGATGACCAAAACGTAAATCCCTAGATGTGACAGTGTGACACAAAGCTCGAAAATTTATCAAAATCAAAGAGAAATAAAAGACCAATTTAGTAAATATAAAATAAAAAAAAAATCTAAGTACTTATGAAAAGGGTTATTATGAATACAATGAACGTAAATGCAAACAACTCAGGCAAAGCCTGCCACTAAAAGAACACAACATGTCAAAAATATCCTGTTGGTGCCCATATTAAATGTTTATGTTATGTTTCATACTTAAGATCGATAAAATAGCCAACTGTAACGTAATTTATTATTTGTTATGTATTGAAAGTCACACATACATGAGACGCCAAAAAATATTGTCAAAAAATAAAGAAAAATATTTACTTTAATAATTTCTTTTTCAGGAATTATTTTAATCTTACAGCCATATCTGGGTCAGACAAAATTACAAAATATATTTTACTTACAGTGTATCTCAATTCTTATTACAATTTGCTATATTTTCCACAGTAATAAAACCTGAATCATGTCG